TTGTCTTGGGAATTCCCATATGACAGCAAAAACAGCTCATTTCATATCCTAAAACCTTCAGTTCACGTCTTCCTGGGCATTTAGGCTGGTGCAACTCTTCAGGCGACTGCTGAAATGAAACAGTCTGGGTGCAAAGCCCAGCCTTCCTGTTCCACGCAAACAAAACTTGGCATCAATAGCATGTCAGGATATTTGTACACCTCTTGTCCCTTTGTCCCTTGTTTCTCCTCCTCTTTTCTGTCAGGACTTTTTGTTTTATTTACTAAATGCGATCAACTGTCTGATGCTGCTCACCCCGAGGAGTTCCTGCAGCATGTGCGGCCACAGGATACAAGGGCTAAAGGAAAGAGCGGGGGCAGCAGCTCCCTAGAGCGATGCTGCCACTGAGAAGAGCATGTGGAACTGAGCCCTGTGAGTGAGAGTGAAAACCATGTCACCTCTCACTGAAAAGCAGAGCAAAATGCACATTTACCTCTAGTCACAGTAAGCAATTAATTCCAGCCTGCCTCATCATGAAATATGCTGGTTCCTACTATGCATTTCCAAGTCAAAGGAACTGGCTCATTGAGATTACAAGCACCAGCTAGGAAAATTACAAAGATGATGTCAGTTGTGCCAGGCCATAGTCAACTGGGGGAATTCAAATGCGACAACCTGAAATGAATGTCACAGTGAAGCAGGTGTGGGCCGGTAAACATGCTTGTCCTGCACTCTGCAGAGACTTCATCCCACTGAAGGGCTGACAGAAACTTGTGCTCCACACAAAGCACTGTGACCACCCAGCCTTGAAAAGGTCCAGGTGTTTAGCAGTGCTCCGGGCACAGCCTGGAATGAGGCAAAAGCCTTTGTGTATCTGTGGATACTTCGGGAGCCAAGAGAAGATGGATCGGGGAAGCTCAGTAACACAAACAACAGAACAACCAGAAATCACTTACAGATAACAGTGATCTCAACAGCCATTGGGGTTTTTTGAGTGCATCTTCCCAAAGCCAAGGGAAGAGCATTGTTTCCTGGGTCGTAATTAATTCTTGCTAATGCTGTGTTCTCCAGCTCCTTTTCCTGCTGATGACATAGGGAACAAATGGATCAATGCTGTCATTGTACTTAATGGAAAACCAGTAATCAGGAAGGAGAACTGAGGTCTCTTAATCCTAATTATACATGAATTTGCTCGCCACAGATTGCCACAGTTTATGAGCAATCGGGAAAATGAATGTGAGAAAAAGAGTGTCAGTGGTAGAAAGCATAGGGAAAAATCAAATATTAAACTATGTCACTACAGTATAAGTGATTCACATTTGCCTCTGCCTTAAGCTTTGTAAGTATTCTAGACCATGAATCATGTAGTAAATTTCATGTACCTCTTCTCAACTGTTGTCAAATTCAGCATCCATTATTTAAAAAGATGATTATTTCCCTGAGATTACCTGCCCATCTAGACTAATAGTCTGATTTCTGCTTTTTCTGAGCCGAAAAGAAAGCAGAGAAACCTTGGGAGCATCTCACAATAAGTAAGTTAAACTGCTCCCTTCCATTAAAGGGATTTGCAACAGCTCAGTCAGCCCTCTTTGATGCAGGTTGACTACTAAAACTGAGCTTGGACTTATTTTCCATTCAGCTATGGAATTGGTCAAGAATGAAAAGCATACAAGCAAAACCCCAAAATATAAGAACAGTAGAACTTGCATGGAAGAACGAAAGAAAGGCTTAAGAATGTCTGCAGATATATTTTATTCCCTAGGTGTGCAACAATTTTAGAAAATTCTCCCTTGGAGGTGAGAGAGGATTAAAAGGATATCCAGTGTGGCAGGTTATGGCACATATATATGATGCCAGTTCCAGTATATTTTTCAGGATTTCAGGTTTGTGATTCAAGAAAAATGCTTTTATAATAGAGTAAAAGCTGAATACACATTTTGTTTATGCTTTGAGGAATTATAGATTATTTTTTAAAAAAGAAAAAATACACTTGCAGATGTGACAGAGAAAAGGATCCCCAGCTCTTGGGCACTGCTACTAACCATCAACATAGTTACCTTGATAAAACATTGAATGGTCAAAACAATTTTTTAAAATCCCAATTCTTTTGCCTGCAACAATCTAAATGAAAGGATGTAACTTCAGAATAAAAATCTTGCACTTCTGATACTTTGTTATGCACAAAAAGAACAGCATTGTGCCATCCTCAGTGACAGGAAGTGACAGGCAGAGAGTGACATCACTTTTTATTTTTAACTGGCTGCCTTCTGGTGAATTTATTTTGCTGTCAGTAAATATTACAGCAGTGTTAGTCACATTCAGCCTCTGCGGGTACGGAATCGCTGGGATGAGTTTGATCCTAGAAGCCAGCGACTCTTAGCTTTGGGAGGGGAGCACCTTGATTTCCAGGCTGTGGTGGCATCCACTCACAGAAGACCAAGAATGTGGCTTAGCAAAGTGCCGTAGTGCCCATGACAGGCGTGGGACCACGCAGGAAAGGCATCTGTGTGGATTTTACCATTACATTTACCATAACAATACTGCATAGACTAAGCATAATAAAAATGCCAACCGCCTGAACTTCCAGAACAGACATAGCTGACCACTGATATTTAATTAGATACTGCACCGGGCAGATGCAAGACGTAAAATATTACAGCTGCTTCGATGTTCCTATTATTAGGACACATGCAATGCCTAAAATAGCATCGCTTTGGTTAGAGGCTGAGTTTGTAAACAGAAAGCAGAATTTGAAGAGATGTTTCCATCCTTCTCTGTGCAATGAGAGTCCTCCAAGTGTGAAGGTGAACAAATTGTCCCTTCAGGACACACTCGATGGCACAGATGAAGCACAGACTAGGCTCACGCGGCCTTCTTCTCACCGCCTTGGTGTATTTATATGTTTTCCTCATCCACCTCCTTTGCCTTTTGAATTTCCTGTAAGCAAAACCTGTTATTCATTACGCGGTATTCAACCACATTGCAGACTTAATAGCTACCACATCATCCTTGTTATTGCTAATAATAACGCTGCTATTAACACTAATAGACATCCAAGTTCCCTTGTGCACAGCGGTAACAAAACGAGCTGAATGCAAGGACAGAAAACGTGCACTTTCCTCCTAGAAAAGCACCTCAGGAGACACTGGATCTCTTCACTATCCTTTGTAACACTCACTCTCTTAGCCACTTGATCCAGGCAACCACTACCATGTATGAACAGAGCTTGCAAACAGGATATAGACAACTTAAAATACAAGGCAATAATGTATTGGTCAAATCACACAACAGCTTGGATTAACAAGCCAGTAACTGACTAACAAGCCAGTCTTCTGACTCCTATCTTTTCTCTCAAAATTTTCTTTTTCATACTTACACTCTTCCCCTTCAGTCTTTTAAGCTGCTGGTCTGCAGTTTTACCTTATCTTATATGGAAGAACACTAAATACATTCTTGCAGCTCTTTTTTCACTATCAGCTTTCCCTGAAGTGAGAGCCCAGGTTATTCAGCTGGGCTGCATCTCCAGTCAGAGGCAGCTGAAGGAGAAAGGTTACAAGACCACAGGTGAATAAGATAGCGTAGCCCTCAAACTCTGAGCCTCGCAAAGGAACTGCTCTCTGAATTGCCAGGTAGGGTTTACATTCTAGGTTATAGATGTCTAGGAAATGAATTTTCTGTCATGGAAAAAAAGCAATATGTGGCTATAAGGAAACATTGTACATATTAAGGACAAAATCAAAGTAAAATGAATGACATCCCTAAACAACATCCTTCCATGTTATCATTATTCAAGCAAAAAAAAAAAAAAAAAAGCAAAAAACATGGTAAGGCATTGTAAACTGGCATACTAGTTGGTAACTGTGTATTTGGAGGTTAGAGCATGAAAAGATGATGACAAATAATGTTATGTGCATTGAATGGTCCTCTTATTAATGCTATCAGGGCCACTAAGGCCTGTTTGTAAGTCGTTAGATGCTGGGGAGGAGGACACGCTATCGACCTGATGGAGATTTTCGCTGCCTGCCTTGCACCCCTATCTCCTACGGCTTCGCTGGTGATGTGCACAAGCCCTGCTCCTAATCACACAGAATCACAGAAGGGCCGAGGTGGAAAGGGACCTCTAGAGATCACATAGTCCATTCCTCTGCTCCTGCAGGGACACCCAGGGCACAGGGCGGCATCCAGGCGGGTTTGGAAGGTCTCTGGCGAAGGAGACTCCACAGCCTCCCTGGGCAGCCTGTGCCAGGGCTCTGGCACCCTCACGGCAAAGAACTTTCCCCACACGTCTCTAACGCATCTCTCTAACTTTCAACGCGGCCCATCTGAAGGCCACCCGGGAGGCGGCGCTGCCCGCGCCGGGATGGCGGCGGCGCTGCGGCGGCGGCCGCGCGGGAAGCTGGCCCGGCGCTGCCCCCTGGCGGCGCTGCGCGGCGCTGCCCCGGCGCGAGCCGCGGGGCGCCGCTTCTCCTCGGCCTGCGCCAAAGTTTGGGGGATCACCATATTTAATAATAAAAATGAGAGTAGCAGGAACAATAATGAGGAGCTACACCAGAGCGGTCGTGTTCATAGATGCTTGAAACGAATCCCCCCAGGCAGCCGTAGAGGGGCTGTAAGGCACGTGCTGCTACCGCGCGAGGCCCTTAGTACTGCACTTTCACCCGCAAGTAGATGATGGGGGAAAAAAAAGCAACATTTTTTTTTCCCCAAACCGTAACGTGCCTCTATTCCTGCAGCTGCCGGAGAGCACCTTTTTCACATGAGTACAGCAGGTTTTGAAAGCTCGCCTACAACAATGTGCACATGAGGCACTTTGGGAAGAGCCACAAATCAGCACTGAGGGGGAGTTTAAAGGAGTTAGTATCGGTTCTAAGGGCGAGAACTGCAGCCCCTTGCGCGCCGCCGCCATCTTGCCACCCCCCCCCAGCGC